CTGAGCAAGAGTGAGACCTGTCTCTAATAAAAACAGAAAAAATTAGCTGGGCATGGTGGCACACGTCTGTAGTCCCAGCTACTCAGGAGGCTGAAGCAGGAGGATCACTTAAGCCTAGGAGTTTGAGGTGAACTATGATGACGCCACTGCACCCTAGCCTGGGCAATAGAGCGAGACCTTGTCTCCAAAAAAAACAAAAACCCAAAACTTAAAAAGCAATGTAATTCACAATGCTAGAATAACAAGAAAAATCAATGATCACCTTAAATAGATGCAGAAAAGGCTCATAAAAAAAACACTTGATTTAAGAACGGACAAAATTTTTGAAGACATTTCACAAAAGATGTTACACAAATGGCTAATAAGGACATGAAAATATACTCAGCATCATTAGTTACTAGGGAAAAGCAAATTAAAGCTGCAATGAGCTACGACTATATAGCAACCAGAATGGCTAAAATTCAAAAAAACCAAAAAGAAGAAAACAGCAAAAAAACCCGCAGTATCAATTTTTAACAAGCATGTGAGCAAATGGAACAAAATCTTATACTTTGCTGGTGGGAATGTAAAATAGTATAACCACTTAGGAAAACAGTTTGGCAATTTCTTACAGAGTTAAACATATACTTATATACTTACCATATGACTCAGCAATTCTACTCTTACATATTTACAGAAGTAATGGGAAAATCTATGTCCATACAAAGACTTGGACTACAAGTATTCCTAGGAGTTAATTTATAATTGCCCAAAAGTGGAAACAACCCAAATGTCCACCAACAAATAAACAATTCAGTGCAAACAAAAGCAATATATCCATATCATGGAAAACTATAAAGTGAGATTACTGCTACATGCAACAACATTGGATGTCTATCAAATACTTTGTCCTAGCAAAAGAAGCCAGACAGAAGAACACAAATCACATGATGTATGAAAATTGATGATTCTAATGGAGTCATTCTTGTCAAACCCAACTAAGACAGAGTTGAGAAGGGTGTAAAAAGCACTCTAGAAACATAACATTGCTCTAGAAATGTAATTCTCTGTAAGTCCAGCTGCTGAAATTGCCTGCTGTAACCTGAGACCAGTTTTATCTGTAACTGCTAAGATAACTTGCTGCAAACCTAGGACTAATTTTGCCCACCTCCACACTCACCAAGCAGAGCTAGCCAGCTCCCCAGAACCTCACTAGTGCCAATGAACTTTTCTCAAAGAGCAGTATGTAACATTTCTCTTTTTTATAAAAACTTCAACTTTGTTTTTTCAGACATACCAACTACCATCTGCTATGCATTTAAGCCCTGAACTGTGGTTATTTCTTCCCAAATAAAACATTAGAGATTCATCTCTACATTTTTATTTTGACTTCCACATCACTTAGGCAAAATCCTAGGAAAGATAAATCTAATCTACAATCATAGGAAGCAGATCAGTGGTTGTCTGGGGCCTAGGATGTAATGTGGGGTCTGGTTGGGTAGGGGCACAAAGGAACCTTATAGGGTGTTGAAAATATTATAGGTATCTTGATGCTGGTACTTGATATACAGATTTAGCTTTTTGTCAAAACTCAATGAATTGGAAGACAATGATAACTGTCTAGAACATGATCTTTAAATATTTCCTCCCAAAACAATACAGAACAATAACTACAGCCTCAGCATAACTTGAAGACAAAGAATACTCAAACTTCAAACTATAAATAAAAATACAAAACAACAAATCTTTATTATTTGAGTTCTTTCTCTTCTATTTCTGGTTAATCTGACCAGTGGTCTATCGATTTTGTTTATCTTTTCAAAGAACCAACTTTTTGTTTCATTGATCCTTTGTATTGTTTTGCTGGTTTCCACTTCATTTAGTTCTGCTCTGAGTTTTGTTATTTCTCTTCCTCTGCTGGCTTTGGGTTTGGTTTGTTCTTTTCTAGTTGCTTGAAATGTGACATTATGTTGTTAATTTGTGATCTTTCTGTCTTTTGGATGTAGGCATTTAAGGCTAGGAACTCCTCCCTTAGGGGTGCTTTATTGTAGACCACTATAGTGAGTTATCTCAGGAATGAAAAACCAAACACCATATATTCTCACTAATAAGTGAGAGCTAATAGGTAAATATGGCCACAAAGTAATATAAACAACATGAGAAACCAAGAGGAGAGGGTAGGTGGTGGGTATGGAATAAAAACTTACCTATTGGGTTCAAGGAGCACTTTTCTGGTGATGGGCACACCAAACACCCTGACTTAAGCATTATACAAGATACCCATGTAACAAAAACACTTGTACCCCCTTAATTAATATTTTGAAATAAAAAATAAAATTAAATAAAGTCAATAACAAATTTAAAAAAGTAAAAAAGGGTTAGAGACACAGTAACAAAAATGAGATAGAGGCAAAAGCGATAAAATCCATACTACTGCAATCTCTGAAGAAAAAAAAACACAATGGACTAGAATATTTAAAACTATAATCCAAGAAAACTTTCCAGAAATTACAAAAGACCTGAACCTACATACTGAAAGGGCAAATGGAACCTAGGAAAATTAAGCTAGACTAATTACCTTCACAACATATCCTAGTACAAAACTATGAGATTTTAGGCCAGGCGCGGTGGCTCACGCCTGTAATCCTAGCACTCTGGGAAGCTGAGGTGGGTGGATCGTTCAAGCTCAGGAGTTTGAGACCAGCCTGAGCAAGAGAGAGACCCCGTCTCTACTAAAAATAGAAAGAAATTAGCTGGACAACTATAGAGGAAAAATTAGCCGGGCATGGTGGCGCATGCCTGTAGTCCCAGCTACTCTGGACGCTGAGGCAGAAGGATTGCTTGAGCCCAGGAGTTTGAGGTTGCTGTGAGCTAGGCTGACGCCACGGCACTCTAGCCCAAGCAACAGAGTGAGATTCTGTCACACACACAAAAAAAAACTATGAGATCTCAAAAATAAAGAAAAATCCCCAAGGCCTTCAGACAAAAAGATTGAATAATAACAACATACAAATCAAGACAATAATGGAACAGCATTTTTAAAAAATGCAATATAAAAAGTGTTAATTTCATATCCAGTCAAACTGCCCTTTAAGAATCAAGGACACTCGGCCGGGCACGGTGGCTCACGCCTGTAATCCTAGCACTCTGGGAGGCCGAGGCGGGACCATCGCTTGAGGTCAGGAGTTCGAGACCAGCCTGAGCAAGAGCGAGACCCCGTCTCTATTAAAAATAGAAAGAAATTATCTGGACAACTAAAAATATATATATAGAAAAAATTAGCCGGGAATGGTGACGCATGTCTGTAGTCCCAGCTACTCAAGAGGCTGAGGCAGGAGGATTGCTTGAGCCCAGGAATGTGAGGTTGCTGTGAGCTAGGCTGACGCCACGGCACTCACTCTAGCCAGGGCAACACAGTGAGACTCTGTCTCAAAAAAAAAAAAAAAAAAGAATCAAGGACACTGAAAAACAGTTTTACCACACAAGAACTTAGGGAATTCTACACCTATGAACCTTTCCTGAGGAACCTACTAGTGGATGAACTTCATCCAATCAAGAGATGATCGAGAACACTTGAGAAAAAGGACAGAAGGTAAGCATTTTTATAAATGCATATAAAAGTAGACTTACAACAAATACAGGAAGGGATGAGGAAGGAAGACTGAGGTACCAATGGTATATGTCGTGAACAAGAAATTATGCAATTAAATTGGGGAAAGTATAGAATGTGAACACGATGGTTTTTATATAGACAGACAATAGGTGGGAATTCAAGGATAGCAATAAAACAAAAAAGACAAACCTTAAACTGTAAACATTCTAGAACAAAGCATAGGAGAAAATCTTTGTAACCCTGGGTTACACAAACATCTCTTAGATGTGAAAAGAACAATCTATAAGAGAAAAAAATTAATGCATTGAAAATCAACAAAAAATTTAAAACTTTTGCTCTGTGAAAGACACTGTTAAGAGAATGAAAAAAATCATGCCACAAAGAAAACATTTCCAAATCATTTATCTGGAAAAGGACTTGATCTTAAATATTTTTAAAAAACTCTTAAAGAAAACTAACCCATAAGAAAACAAAAATAGGCAATAAACAAAAATGGGCAAAAGATTTATGAGGATAACAAGTGGGCACAAGAATAGATAATCAACATCTTTAGTCGTTAGGAAAATGCAAATTAAAACCACAGTGATAATAACCACTACACACCTATTAGAATGGTAAAAAATTAAAAGAACTCAGAGTACCAAGTGCTGACAAAGTTGGAGAGCAACTGGAATTCTCATCATTACTGGTGGGAATGCAAAATGTTACACAGCCACTTTGTTGAACAGTTTAGCAGGACAAACAGTTAAACACACACTTATCAAATGACTCAGCAATCATACCCCTAGATATTTACTACAAAAAAATGAAAACTTACATTCATACAAAATTCCATATGAGAATGTTTATAGAAGTTTTATATATGATTGCTAAAAACTGGAAACCAACCAAATGTCCACCAACAACAAAAAGGATAAATTTAATTTTATAAAATGAAACACTTCTCAGCAACATAAAAGAACAATCTTCTAATATTCAAAATGACATGGATGATCTCAAAAACACGCTGAGTAAAAACAGTCAGATGCAAAAGAGTACATAATAATGTAATATTCCATTTACATGAAGTTCAAGAATAGACAAAAATGATCTACGGTGATGGACATAAAAACAGTGGCTGAGTGGCTGCCGGACTCAGAAGATAGGGGAAATTAATTTGAAAGGTACACAAAGGTGACGGATATGTTCATTATCTCGATCTGGATTATGATTACACAGGTATGTATATCTGACAAAATTCATTGAGCTATACACTTCTGTGTACTTTACTATTTATAAATTATACTCAATAAAGTGCTGTTAGCTTGCTAAAAAGGTATCAATAAATCTATTTTATTAAGGTATTATTCTGTCATCTTTTTTTTTTTAAATATTACTTCCTTAAACCATGTTTAACTATTTTCTTTACCTGAAGCATGTTGTTCCATTCTCCTTTATTTTATTTTTCTGAATAGGAGATGCTTGGAGCGACAGAATTTTATTTCCAGGCAGAGTAATTTGTTTTACAATGGAAGCTATAAAAACAAAACAAGAAAGAAAAAAGTAGAATATAAAAAAGCAATCATGCCACATTAAGAAAAATTCAGGACAACAGTTTTTAATCTATACAGAATAATCAAAGAAAATTTCAAGTTGCCCTAGAACTATGTTTAAATTCAAACAAGACAATGAATTTATTCCCTGTATAGGAAATGATCTTATGAAATAAATATCATTCCATTTCTTTTTACATGGTTTCAAATTGTCTATAGAATTAGCAGCATTACAAAATTATGAACAAAAGGTTACTGAAACATGTTATCTGTATCTGTATATTTTAAAAACACATAAAACTCTACCTTACACGTGTAAGACTGATTTTTTTATTTATTTTTTATTTTAAGGAGACAGTGTCTCACTCTATCCCCTAGGCTGGAGTGCAGTGGCACAATCATAGCTCACTGCAGCCTCAAATTCCTGGGCTCAAGCGATCCTCCTGCCTCAGCTTCCCAAGTCACAGGCAGGCACCATCATGCACAACTAATTTTTTTTTTTTTTACTTTTTGTAGTGATGAGGTCGCACTATGTTGCCCAGGCTAATTTCAAACTCCCAGCCTCAAGAGATCCTCTTGCCTTAGCCTCCCAAAGTGCTGGAATCACAGACAGGAGTCACTGCACTGGCCTGATGTCCGAACTTAGAGAAAGAACTATATTTTAAGAAGAAATAAGGCTATAGCAAATTTTATAAGTTTAAAAAGTTCTCATTTACTAGTAGATTATTTTATCTGATTACAGAATGCCATTAATAGTTTCTTCTTTTATTCCAAAACATATACGCCTATAATGTATGTACAATGAATCTAATAAGTAGTCATCTTTCAGTCTTCTTTCATAGTTGCCAACTTTAAAAGACCAATTTCTCTTAATACAACAACAACAACAAAATTACACAAGAATGCTTCACATGTTCCAAACCAAATGTGATAGGGTAGGGTAGGCCAGCATCTACCTGTATGAAACTGACTGGTAGGTATTACAGTGTTCACTGGCATCTTCTTTTGTCCAGATTTCTGAATGGTCAATGCTGAGGAAGGGGAAAGTGTGGTCACTTGTTTTGCAATGCCTCCTGAAGGCTGCTGAACTACCTGAAACAATAAGAACTGTCAGTACAGTCATCCAACTTAACCAGCTTTAGAAAAGAACATGTTTTCAGTTTTAACAAAAGACTGTGCTCACTCACCTGTAAATATACCTTTATCTTGGCATAACAAGAATACCTACTTAAAATTTAAATTTTTATATAGCGAAATTATTTTGTTCAAAAGTGAAAAACAGGACAATCTCACACATTTTTTAGAGTAGAATTTATATTTCACACTGCTCAATTTAAATCTCTATATGGGTTCTATTTTCATTTTTTAACTCATTGTGGAAAATTTCAAATATACTCAAAAGTAGAGAGAAATAAAACCATTTATACCATTACCTACCTTCAACAATGATTACTTTTGACCAATCTTGTTTCATCTATACCCCTACCCACTTCCTTGCCACCCTCAATTATTTTAAAGCAAATCTCAGACACATCTTTTTATCCATAAATATTTCAAAATATATTTCTAAAAGATAAGGACTTTTTGTGTGCCATTTTTTAAAAGTATTTTTTTAAACCATTTGGAAAGTGACAATGCTAAAGGCATTCTTCGACATAACAGTTCAAGAAATCCAGAGGGTGAAGGGTGAAGGAAATAAAGGAAAAGACATTGGAATAATAGCAGGGCCTTACTTTTAGCTTTAAAGAAAAAAACAGAATAGCAGAGCATCATTTTTTTTACTTCTAAGCAGAAAAACAGTCACCATGTATTTGAGCCAGCTATTGGTAATGAAGTATTTAGAACTTAAACTCTTATACAGCTAATACAGATGAGTCATAATCTTAAAACAAACTTCTGAACGGAACTTGGGGAATAAAATTTATTCAATTTTCTAATTTTTTGTAAATAAAATTTAAAAGTCTAGTGTGTACTTAAGAAAAAAAAGTAACAAAAACCACAAATGTCCTAATAAGTAATCCTATAGGATCTAATGCCCCTAGAGAAGAAACATAAGTTAGAATAATTCGATTACCATCATTATTTGAGAATAGATGAACTCTTGTTTTTAGAGACAGGGTCTTACTCTGTCACCCAGGCTGGAGTACAGTGGCACAATCATAGCTCACTAGAACCTCAAATTCCTGAGCTCAAGGAATCCTCCAGCTTCAGCTTCCCTAGTAGTTTCCTAGAAGCTAGGACCACAGCCACAGGCCACCATGCCTGGCTTTTTTTTTTCTTTTTTTGTAGAGAGGGGGTCTCGCCTGCTGCCCAGACTTATCTCCTGGCTTCAACTTCCAGCTTCAAGCTCCTCCTGCTTCTGCCCTGCAAAGCACTGGAATTACAAGTATGAGCCACCAAGCCTGGTGCATTTCAATAAAGCTTACATCACACTCATTCATGTATTACAAAGTCCTAGGAATCAGGTTTAAATTATACAAAGTAGTACATCTGTTCAAAGTTCCACTTATTCTTTCAAACTGAAAATCAAGAGAAACACTCCCAACAATTCCACCTTATTTAGGGAAATAAGGGAAATTACTTAGGGAAATTATATTTTCTTCCTTAATGTTCTTTATTAGGTAATCTTTCCAGAATTTTAATTATGAAAGACAGTAATCAAATATTAAGAAAGTTGTTTACCAATATAAAAGTTGTCAGAATCAAAATGGAGTCACTTGTGTTTAAAAGAAAAAAAAAAAGAAAATCTTGACAAATAGAACAGGGGAAAGCTAAGAGACAGGTCTCATGCTTGTATGCCTAATAACAAAAAACTATCACAAAAGACTGCCAAAACCACAACCTTGCACAAAGGCCATCATAACCTTATACAAAAAGTAATTCTGCAAGGAGAAATCTGTTCAGCAACTGCCTATCCAACCTCAGACTGGTGTCACCCTTGTTATTGATCTGTGTAGCTGAGGATAATAATTTCAAAAGTTATGTAACCCTCTTCATTTTTCCTTTAAAAATCTTTGTCTTTCCTTTACCTCCCTCAATACACACATAGTTTATTATGGCACATACATTCCCACTGCAATGTGTTGTTCTCAAATAAATATCTGTTTCTTTTAGAGAGTCTCTGCTATTTAGGTTCACATCAGGTAGTCTTCATACCATTTCTGATGGGTACACAAAAGTATAACACAGGCTGGGCGTGGTGGCTCACGCCTGTAATCCTAGCTCTCTGGGAGGCCGAGGTGGGTGGATTGTTTGAGCTCAGGAGTTCGAAACCAGCCTGAGCAAGAGCGAGACCCCGTCTCTACTAAAATTAGAAAGAAATTAATTGGACAACTAAAAATATATAGAAAAAAAAAATTAGCCGGGCATGGTGGCGCATGCCTGTGGTCCTGGCTACTCAGGAAGCTGAGCCAAGAGGATCGCTGGAGCCCAGGGGTTTGAGGTTGCTGTGAGGTAGGACTCCACGGCACTCTAGCCCGGGCAACACAGTGAGACTCTGTCTCCAAAAAAAAATAAAATAAAATAACACAAAGTTTTGAGCTGGGACTTAACCCTAGATCCCCATCGCGTCTCATCTTAATAACTGACACCTGGGGCAGTATATGTACCTAGTCTAAAAAAATATGGGCAGCACTCCCACGCACTTGCCAAACAAAACGAGTGATAGAGTGTGAGAGAACTCATTAGTGTTCCTTCAAAGACAGTATCATATAAAACCATACTATTAGGCCTCTTATGGACATTAAATTTATTTTAGAGAGATGGAAATTGGCCCAAAGAAGATGTATCTGCTCCTATTTGGCAAGCGAAAGAAAGAGCTATTGTGTTCTTAAAAAAATTAAGTCCTTTATTTACTTTCCCTTGAAAAAGCCTCTGGAATTAAGAAAAGAGTACATACGTTAGTTTTTTCTCTTGACATGTCAAGATCTGATGTTTCATTAGGATGCTAACATAAATTAATGTTCTAATAGTTTATAGAAGCTACAGGTCTAGAAACACTACACTATATTCTTTCAGTGACAGTTGTTTTCACATTAACTATGATCCAGGATATCTGACAAGGAACTATTCTTAAATTCCATGAGGAAAAGAAACAAAGAAACACAAGTAAAGATTAAACAAGTAGATGCGAACACCCTTATTGTATGATTCCATCTACCCAAAGTTCTAAAACAAGCAAAACCAATCTGTGGGAGAAAATTATCACAAGAGTCACTGCTTCTGGGAAAAAGGGGGAGGAGACTGGGAAGGGCCATGAGAGAACTCTGAGGTGATAGCAACATTCTATATCTTGAAGGGGGTTTGAGCTACATAGGGGCATGAACTGACTGTCTAAACTGATCCTATGGCATACTTAAAATTAGTGCATATCACTGTATGTAAATTTCATCTCTTAAGGAAAAAAATTAACAAATATAGAATCGTAGTTACTAATATTAATGTTTCATTGTTTAAGAAGTCACTGAAATCCAGCAAGAAATTAAGATGGATTAGGTCGGGCAAGATGGCTCATGCCTGTAATCCTAGCACTCTGGGAGACTGAGGTAGGAGGATGTTGGAGGTCAGGAGTGCAAAACCAGCTTGAGCAAGAGTGAGACCCTGTCTCTACTAAATATAGAAATAATAAAAATAGAAATAATTAGCAGTGCATAGAGGCATGATCCTGTAGTCCTATCTACTTGAGAGGCTGAGACTAAGGCAGGAGGATCGCTTGAGGTTGCAGTAAGCTATGATCACGTGACTGCATTCTACCACAGGCGACAAGAGCCAGACTCTCTCTCCGCCCTTCCAAAAAAGAAATTAAGATGAATTGATAGCTAGATAAATACATGATAAATCAAGTGCAGTAACTGTAAATTGTTGGTGGCTGGTATAGAGATGTTCACTGCGAACTTTCATCTTGCTGTTTGAAAATTTTCTTGCATTAATATAAAAATAAAAGGACATATACGCTGTAAATAGTCTCTAGGTTTTATTTTCCATAAATTCTAATGTATCCCTGCAAAACTTTAAAAAATCCCTCAAGTATATTTAAATAAAATAGAATTGACCAACCTATGTATCAAAACTATTGTATTATATATGTTCTGATTAAATTACAGCCCATGAAGGATTTTCTATGCAACTCCTAAATTATATATGGTAAACAAAGGGTGGACCTTATTTGGATTCAATCTTTCTTTATCAAAATTTTTTTCATTTTATTTTTTATTTCTTCATTTACCTAAAGAATTTGTAATGTACTACACCAAAATTTTCATTAGTCCTTTTTAAGATTAAAATCAACAAACAACTAAATTCCACCTTTCCTCTCACTCTTAAATAGAATGCAAAAAAGGAATAAAAAAAAGACAAACTGGGCCGGGCGCGGTGGCTCACGCCTGTAATCCTAGCACTCTGGGAGGCCGAGGCGGGCGGATCGTTTGAACTCAGGAGTTCGAGACCAGCCTGAGCAAGAGTGAGACCTCGTCTCTACTAAAAATAGAAAGAAATTGGCCAAACAACTAAAAATAGAAAAAATTAGCCGGGCATGGTGGTGCATGCCTGTAGTCCCAGCTACCTGGGAGGCTGAGGCAGGAGGATCGCTTGAGCCCAGGAGTTCGAGGTTGCTGTGAGCTAGGCTGACACCAAGAGAGTGAGACTCTGTCTCAAAAAAAAAAAAAAAAAAAAAGACAAACTGCTTAAGTTTGGATCCTAGTTGGTCAATCCAATAAGAACTGAGGGTCAACTACTTGAGCCAGTAAAACACTTAACAATTTCTTTCCTACTCCATTTTTATTAATATTTTCTCTTCTCTTAAAAAAAAATAGTGGCCACCAGCATGTAAAGAAAGGAAAATTTGTACCTTGAAAATATTTTTCCTATACTGTGAGAACTACAAAGTTAAAGACAATCAGCAGACCTTTGTTTTTAGAGACAGGATCTCACTCTTTTGCCCAGGCTGGAACGTAGTGGTATGATCATAGCTTACCGTAACCTCAAACTCCTGACTCAAGCGATCCTCCCTCCTCAGCCTTCCCAGTAGCTGGGACTACAGGCATGAGTCACCACGCCTGGTTGATTTCTTAATCTTTTGTAGAGATAGGGTCTCG